TATATATCTGATTATTACTAGTCACAGTTGGTTACTTTCTGAGCTCCTTGGCATCTGAGCATGGATATAAAGTCATCAGGTAGATTTAAATGGTAATGTTTTTTAGCTCTACTAATTATTAAGGAGCAAATTTTTATTTTTTGAAGAATTATTATTTTATTTTATTTATTTATACAGCCACTTCCCAGGCAGCACCCTCCCATAGCCTCCTTTCCCCCACTAGAGCCCTTATACTCTGATATCCCTGCTACTGTCTGCTGTGATGTCGGCACCCTGAGCCATTCCCTACTGCTTGCCCTTTTGGTGAATCTAGTCAGCCTATCTAGAGGTATTTGTTTTAGGAGGGTCAGCTGTTCCTCATCTAGAGGTAATCAGTTGTCAATATTCCTTTGGATAAGATTGGGGTCTGCTGCTCAATTTCCAAGTTCTATGCTGGTTACTATCTGGGAATCCCTTTGACCATCCTGGCCAACAACTCAAAAGAAGGTATCACCTGTCTGGCATTGTTGCTTGTTATGTAGCCTTTAGCTTTACATGTGGACTCTTATGAAATTATATTGGCCCCTTTAATCTTTGGTTATGCTTTCCTTTTGGGTGTTTAAGGCCATACAGTTGGTGCTTTTCAGGTGTCTTGAGTTGCAATGTTAAGTCATTTATTTGTGTTCTTTCTGATTTTTTGATGTAGGCACTTAGAGCTATAAACTTTCCTCTAAAGACTGCTTTCCATGTGTCCCAGCGGTTTTGTTGTGTTGTTTTGTCCTTTCCATTTAATTCCAGGAATAATTTTATTTCTTTCTTAATTTCTCTTTTGACCCATTCATCATTCAGGAGTGTGTCATTTAATCTCCATGTGTTCATGTGGTGATTATGTCTTCTTTTGGTTTTGATTGTAAGCTTTATTGCATTGTGGTCTGATAGAATGCATGGAATTATTTCAATCTTTTTGTATTTGTTGAGGTTTGTTTTGAGCCCCAGTACATGGTAGATTTTGGAGAAGGTTCCATGGGGCACTGAATAGAAAGTATATTCTTTGGTGCTTGGGTGGAATATTTGGTAGTTGTCCATTAGGTCCATTTGATATATGGTATTGTTTAATTCAGATGTTTCTCTGTTAATTCTCTGTTCTGTTGACCTATTTAATGGAGACAATGGGGTATTGCAGTCCCCTACTATTAATGAGTTGGGACTAATCTGGGTCTTAACGTCCTGTAGTAGTGTTTTTATGAAGTTGGGTGCACCAGAGTTTGGTGAATATATGTTCATGACTGTAATATCTTCTTGGTTTATTGTTCATTTGATCAGAATGAAGTGGACCTCTTTATCTCTTCTGATTAGTTTTAGTTTAAAGTCCATTTTATCAGATACTAGAATTGCAACACCTGATTTTGTTCTTAGTACCATTTGCTTGGTATATTTTTTTCCATCTTTTCACCTTAAGGTAGCTCCTATCCTTGAAAGTGAGATGAGTTTACAAAAAGATTGGGTTTTTTTCTTAATCCATTCACAAAGTCTGTGTCTTTTGACTGGGGAGTTCAATCTGTTACTATTTAAAGTTATTAATGAAAGATGGGTATTGAATCCTGTCATTTTTATTTCTGTTTACATTCTTGATATAGCTGTACTTTTCCACAGTTATACCTTCATTGGATTTCTTTCCACCACCCCTTGGGTATAGCCATCCCTTTCTTCAGCTCTTTGTATTGCTGCCAGAACTCTCTGAAGGGCTCGTTTTGTGGACATGAATTCCTTCAGCTTACTTATGGAAGATTTTTCTTTCCCCATCGACTATAATAGATATTTTGGCCAGGTATAGTAATCTGGTTTGGCATCTGTGGTCATTTAAAATCTGGAATACTTTGGTCCAGGCTCTTCTGGCTTTCATAGTTTGCACTGAAAAGTCAGCTGTAATCCTAATGGGTTTCCCTTTATTTGTGACTTGTTGTTTCTCTTTTGCAGCTTTCAGTATTGTCTCTTTTTTTTTTTTTTTTTTGTACGTTTAAGTGT